TAATCCTTGGCAAGTTAGATATTAGTTTTACAAGTGATGGTACTTTTTCATGAGTGGCATATGCCAATGAATTTGTAGGACTGAAGATGTAAAGGTGAGGTAGAATTTTATCCGAAAAATCATACCTTTTTTTTATTTGAATACAACCTTCTACAAGGAAATTTGAACATCGCTCATAAAAATCGGATAACAGATCTGGTCTTTTGGTAATCTCCGGTTTACTGATGAAATTAATCACTTTAACACCTTTATAAAATAAAAATGATCAATAAGTTTAAGTTTAATGTGTAATTTATATTTCTTACCTAAATATATATCCTTAGATTGAAGATAATATTTTCTATCAGTTATATTTATTTCTTCTGGAGGTGTGTGCATAATGTAAGAGCTTTGCATGAAACATAGTAGCAAATCTTTATAAGCAGCCATTATTTTTTCATGTAATTTATCCGATATGACTTTTTCAGATTGAAAATATTTATTTAGTAATGTGAATTTAGGCAAAACCCACTCCATGAATAGATAAAAAGCATTTGTAAATGGGTCATTAAGTTGCTCACAAATAATTCTAGTTGATGCTAATTTTTCACTCAACCATTTTTCATTAAAGAATAATCTAAGAGCATCCCATTGTTCTATGATTCTTATAACTACGGATAATAATGATAACCATCTTGTAGCTGAAGGATGCAATATTTTATGGTCTTGTAAGTCAAGAAATGGCTGAAATTGATATAATTGGCTTTGCCGTTTTGAGCTATGACTGAAAAAGTTATAGATTTGACGAACCAAGTCTTCACATATTGTAGGTAACTTTTTGCAGGCTTCACTACATGCAAGWTGTAAACTATGACATACACATTTCATTAAATATACACCGGGAAAATTTAATTTAATTTTTTGTGACACAGAGTAATGAGCTCCGAACATAGTATTACAACCATCCGAACCAAATCCAATTATATTTCCAAGTGGTATGGTATGTTGAATAAATGTTTTAATACATGTATCAAATAAATTTTGTGCAGTTGCTCCTTTATCTTCAAAGTTGGTTTTGTCGTGTAATTGAACGAAGTCCCAAAAAACGACTAACAATTTCATTTTGATTAGGACAGTAATACCTCACAATTATACACATGGTAGACGAACAGGAAATATCTGTAGACTCATCTATCATCATAGAGAATTTTGTATTTTTTAAAGTGTCTATTAAACTATTTTTGGTAAATGGTGAAATAACATTAGTAACAACAGCAGTAGCTTTAGTTCGCTTAAGTTTAATGTTTTGACATATTTGTGATTCGGGAAAAATACTTTTAAGTAGACTGTCGAGATGTTCCGTGGCATTAAAAGCAATATTATGCTCTACCAAAAATGCGCACAATTTAATTTCAGCCGATTTTACATTGTAATCTAATAATGTAGATTCATTTCATAAAAATGATTCTTTAATAGTATTTCTAGTATCTCTAATATTTTGTTTATGTTTTTTTCCCTGGCTATGATTTTTTATAACTGTTAGTTCGGATATCATAATAACATTGCATTTCGAACAATAAGCTTTATATTCATCACTATTAGGTCTTAACCAATTTTTAAATTCTGGTTTAGTTWCCCAACTTTTTTTAAATTTTTGTTTTCGATGCTTTCATTTTTCTGCTCTTTTAAGTTCACCACGAATCGATCTTTTATACTTCGGAGTTGTACATCTAGCATTTTCTTCTTCCTCGTCAGAAATTGGAGTTGAATTATTTAAAATCTAAAAAATTAAAAAGTTTCAATGAAAAAATAAATATTCTAAATGTTGAAAATAGTTTTCATACTTGCTGAATTTCCAAAGTTTGGTCWTCATCTGAACTTTCGATATTCGTTTTAGCATTTGATTTCTTAACAAAATATGAGAATACACTGATCAGCATTAATAATTTATAATTTGGTCGAATCTTATTTATATTAAAATAACTATACAATAAACAGTAAATACTTRCCAAAAGAAATCTATCCATGTTCAAAATTTCAAATGTTCTTAAAACAATAAAATAATTAAACACAAATTAATATTTATTACGAGTACGTCAAACACACACACACGAGTCCACATTACACGACACGCGTTTTAATGATATAAAATAAACCAACTATGTAGGTATTTAATATTTACATATATATTTATTTATATTAAGTACCAATGGCGAATAGCAATAGTGTTTATGATGTCATGTATGGTACTTGTAACCATAGACAAMTATGAAAATATAAAGTCTGGGATTTATTTTTATTTTAAGAATATAAAAATTATCGTATTTTTACGTACGATACTGAAGTTGCTATCGTACATCGTATTTGACCTAAAATTATCGTACAAATACGATATATATCGTACGACTGGCAACACTAGTGCGAACACAATATTATAAATTATAATGCTGATAAGTGATAATAATATTCTGTTCATACGTGGTTCATACCATGGCTAAATAGACAGGCATGTCAGCAAGATAACCAAAATACACTATCAATACGCAGTTTTCTCCAGATGACGTCACATTCCCGCCGTTTTCAAATAAGCCATGATTACACATTCAACATTGCAAAATTAATTTTATTAACTTTACTTAGCCATAATATTATTTATAAAAAAAAAATACAATAATATTTCACATATTGTGACTCCCGAGTGGAAGATTCCAATATATAAAAAATATATTATATAAATATAGACTATATTATATAGTAAATACACCTAATTAAAAATAATTTCATAAAAAATTTAYATTTTCACTCTACCAGGATCTTTGACCTTTGTATATTACTATAGTTTAATACTTTATTTTATGTTTGATTTTGATTAATACATGTCTTAAATTTCTTATGCAGATTATTCAAATTTGTAAATAATCTAAAAATAAAACTTATTTATATGATAACAATTCATACTGTAATTATCTTATGATTATTTCATTTATCCATCCGTTTTTTTGTCCTTACTCCTTAGTAATAGTGACTATCATTTTTAATTAAAATGCCTTATTATTGTGCTGTGTCTGGCTGTAACAGCCATAAAAAACAACTAATGTTAACATTAGGTACCACAGGTTTCCGACGTCCCCTGATTTACAAAAGAAATGGAWAGAGTTTTGTCAGCAACCAGCTGGGAAAAAACAAAACATAAACAATGGTACGATATAATTACATTGTATTAGTATACACTATAAGCACAGTAACGTATTATATAAATATGAACGTTATTCGCCAGTTTATTAATTTATATTCCCTTTTTTTAAAAGCCCGTATTTGTTCATTACACTTTGTAAAAAGTGATTTCGAAAAACCATTAATTGAATTAATGTTGAACTATTCACCCAAGTGTAAAAGAAAATTAAAGAGTGATGCTATTCCAACTCAACGGGTAGTTATTTTAAACAATTCCAGTTTTGAGGCAAGTTTTAACAATTATTAAGATATTATAAAACAATAATATATTATAAGAATGAAATAGTTTTAACTTATTAGTTTTATGACTTAAAATAAATAAATATTTATTTATTAGAAATGTGATTCTWATCCTGAATGTAGTACAAAAGAAGTGTCTAGAAGCTTATTTACTACAGAGGATTCACATATTTTGCCAAAAAATAGAGAACAACATTTATTGGAACTTGTTAACAAGTATTTAAATATATACATGTATACATAATCGAACTAACGGTTTGATCGTAATACAATGTTAATTTWTGAATATGTTTTTGATAGATTACAAATAGAATTAAATTAAATAAAAAACAAACTTTTAAACGTTGAAAAGGAAAATAAATATTTGAAAACTGAATATTTTGAAAATAAAGTATGCGATATGTTTGGTCATATATTTACAAAAACTCAAATAAATCATTTTTTACGGCCTTATGTTCGAATACAAAAATGGGAAGTAGAAGACATCACTGCAGCTATTACACTGAGAAGTATTTCACCAAGTGCATATCGTTACTTGATAGATAAACTAAAGTATCCATTACCAGGTCTGAAAAT